GTCCCTCGTCCCCGGGGTTGTACACGATCCACTTACCTGACCCAGACGGGCCTTCTCCGAGGCCAAGCGCAGCGGTCACGGTGCTGGTATGTGGGCTGCGAAGTGGTGTCGGGTTGTTCTTGTTTAGGGTTATGTTAAAAGCACGTTCTCTATTTCATCAGACCATTTTGGGTGACGTAACCTTAGCAACTGCTGCTTCATCGCATGGCAGGCTGTCCCTTGTTGTGGGCTTTACGGCTTGTCTTAACCCCAATACAATATGGTGACGGGCAGCACTGACCATGACAAGTACCTCTTCGAATGTCTCCTGCGTACCTGTTTGGTATAAGACGGGACAGACAAAGCCCTCTCTCTCACCTGGCCGTGTTATGGCTGCAGCATCAGCACAGCGTGGCCAGCACCGGGTCTGCTGTGAGTAACTCCACCATCCGGGTCCGGAGTCCAGGCTCAGGGCCGCAGCCCACGACGGCGCTGTCAGCAGTGTGACTAATCAGCTAATGTGATAAAAACGGCCCCGCGGCCGGCTGAGTGTGTGCGGGGGAGAGGGAAGCACTAAAAATAATGATTTCCTGGACATCTTGGCTGAGCCATGTTAAGGACATGAACGGAAATGCGTTAAGGAAGTTTGCCTGATGTGTCTGGGAGCCGGGCATGCTGAGTGTGGGTGACTTGCTCAAGGGACGTGACTTTGGGTTTGCGTGTTAATAAATACCGGGGGGCCGTGGAGAGTGTCCTGAGGATGAGGGACCGTGACTTCGAGCTGAAATACGGAACGTTAAACGAGGAGTCAGGAAACCTGGGCGCCCACACGTCCGGTGCGTCCGGCTCAGACACCAGGCGCCGTCAGCATCCTCGCTGCCCGTCACGTGCCTGAGCACGACGCTGTCCTGTGCGGGTAGTTAGTCCTGATTCCCAGGCAGCCAGATGGCTCCACGGGGAACACAGCCCAGTGGGGACGTGGCATTTTCATCCCCAAACCCCTGCCCGGGAACTCGATGTTACCGGGACACTCTGGTTTCAGCGCTGGAGGGTTTAAGTAACAGCCCACGTAATGGGCCCTGGGCATTGTGGTTCGGCTGGTTGAGAGTCATCCCAAAAGGTTGCTGGTTCGATTCTCAGTCGGGGCACATGCCTGGGTTTTTGCTCGGTCCTGGTGGGCGGTGTGCAGGAAACAGCCGATCGATGTTTCTCTCTCTCCCTTCCTCACTAAAAATCAATAAACTATTTTTTTAAATATATTTTATCGATTTTTTACAGAGAGGAAGGGAGAGAGATAGTTAGAAACATCGATGAGAGAGAAACATTGATCAGCTGCCTCCTGCACACTCCCTACTGGGGATGTGCCCGCAACCCAGGTACATACCCTTGACTGGAATCGAACCTGGGACCCTTCAGTCTGCAGGCCGAGGCTCTATCCACTGAGCCTAACCAGTTTTGGCAATAAACTATTCTTAAAAAAAAAAGAAAAAGTAGCCCGGCTGGTGTTGCTCAGTGGTTGAGTGTCGACCTGTGAACCAGGAGGTCACAGCTGGATTCCCAGTCAGGGTACATGCCCAGGTTGTGGACTCGAACCCCAGGAGGGGGAGTGCGGGAGGCAGCTGATGGATGATTCTCATTATTAATGTTTCCCTCTCTCCCTCTTCCTTCCTCTCTGAAATCAATAAAAATGTATTTTTTAAAAAGTAATATCATAGCAGAAGAAGTATTTTTTTAAATACACATATGTTTTTTAAAATATATTTTATTGATCTTTTACAGAGAGGAAGGGAGAGGGATAGAGAGTTAGAAACATTGGATGAGAGAGAAACATCGATCAGCTGCCTCCTGCACACCCGCTACTGGGGATGTGCCTGCAACCCAGGTACATGCCCTTGACCGGAATCGAACCCGGGACCTTTCAGTTTGCAGGCCGACGCTCTATCCACTGAGCCAAACCAGTCAGGGCAGAAGGAGTATTGTTTAAGGTATTTTGAGTTACCTTTGCTGTTTTGTCTGTAGGATCAATGTCATTTATGCTTCTCACAGCTCAGCTACTGTAGCTTTTTCTTTATCGTGAATTTTAAAAATGGAATGCTTTTTTGTGAGTTATGCTTAAGATGCTGTGAGAGGGAAGATAAAAGTAGAAATTTGGAAGGGAGCTGCTGAATTCGGTCTGTGGAAATCTCTCCTGGTGTGTAACACCCGTGTGACGGCGAGTCGGCATAAGCCGCTCTGGCGTGCGGGCGCGGGCCCTGGGATCCCGGGAGGTGGTTCCGGGCGGTGGCGAAGGACAAGGGCTGCTTGGGTTTCACGGCAGATCCTCAGGGGAGGCGCTCGGGCTGTCACCGAAGCCCGTTCCAGCGCTGACATGAGCCTGCTCTGCCACAGATTCCGAGTCCGAGCGGTCCCTGAGCCGGCTGGAGGCGGCGACCTCGTGCTCCCGTGAAGAGGAAGGACAGCGTCCGATCCCCGGGAAACACAGGATGTCCGAGGGCCAGGACTGCGGCGGGGGCGACGCGCTCTCCAACGGCATCAAGAAGCACAGGTAGGGACCTTGACAGTCACTCCATCTGCGTCTCCCGGCCCCTCCCTGGCCGCACTGGCTGAGCTGGGGCTGCGGCCTCAGAGAAACAGTGCGGTCAGTGTGTGTCCACGTAGAGGAGAGGCCTTCGCACCGGCTCGGGAACGTAAATCTTTTGTTGGCCGCAGAGGGTGCGGACCTGCCGAGCCTTGCACGGACTCCGGCTCCGGCTCCGGCTTCGGCTCTGGCTCCAGCTCCGGCCCCGGCGTGTCCTGCATCTTTTATGACTGCCCCCGGCGCTATTTTGGTTTCCAGTCATTCGATCCCTGGGTTGGTCTTACTCAGAATGGATGAGGTATCGCCTGCCCGTTGGTTCCATTTAGCTGCATCTTCACAAAGACGTTTATTGAGAGCCGGGGTTGGCCGAGCACGTCCACTTTACGCTGCCTCAGAGCATGCGTGTCTTTTTATCCCCGGGACGATTTCGCCCAGGAGACTGTCCGCAGTTAGCGAGACGTGACGGACACCGGAGTCTCCGGTTTCAGCTGCCTGTGCCCGCGGAGCATGGCACGGGCTCATAGCGGAGCCGTCCGCGCTTCCGGGGGGCGCGGGCCGTCCTCTAAAAGCACTCGGGTCAGAGGTTACGAGTGGCCAGTTTCTACAAGGTAGTTTTTGGTTTAATATTTGCGGAATGTGTCACTTTATCCCTTTTCCTGTGCTGTGATTCCGGCACAGTTGGTCTCAATTATTGTTCCACTGGAAAAAAATCCACGTATCACTCCTGATTCACGTGGATTTGCCCCTTGTTAACAAAATGTCTCACTTTGTACTTGTTTTGACAAGATCAGGGAGTTTTAGGTAACAAACTAGATACAAGCAGTTTCCTCCTGTTCAGGAGGAGGCCTCGCCTCTAAGCAGGTGACTGGTGGTGTCTATTTTTATTGATTTCAGAGAGGAAGGGAGAGGGAGAGAGAGACAGCAATGCTGAGAGAATCATCGCCTCCTGATCGCCCCCTGCTGGCCATCGAGCCTGCACTCAAACAGGGGACCTCTTAGTTCTGGGCCAACCCGCTGAGCCACACCAGCCGGCAGGAGTTTTTTTTCTGCTTCTTTGTGATGGGGTGGAGCCACATTAGTAACAAAGAAACAGAATGTCCGGAGGATGAGGCCCAGAAATCAGGATTTTAAAAAGATTTCCAGGTGATTCTAATGTGCAGCCAAGGTTGAGAACCACTGGTCTAAAATGTCATTTAATGGGAACATCTAGAACAGTGGTCGGCAAACTCATTAGTCAACAGAGCCAAATATCAACAGGACAACGGTTGAAATTTCTTTTGAGAGCCAATTTTTTTTAAAATATATTCGCTCTATCCACTGAGCCTAACCGGTTTTGGCAAGAGAGCCAAATTTTTTAAACTTAAACTATATAGGTAGGTCCATTGTTATTAACTTATTTGGGGTCCTCCTAAGGCTTAGGAAGAGCCACACTCAAGGGGCCAAAGAGCTGCATGTGGCTCGAGAGCTGCAGTTTGCCGATCACGGATCTAGAAGGTCCACATGCGGCATGTGGTCGGTCTGCCTGAGACGGTGTCCTCTCCTCTTCCCCATTTACCTGCGGACGGAGCCGGCCGTCCCGGGAAAAACTCGGTCTGGAGATGGCGTGTTGCAGCCTATGGCGTCATGCACATAGGTGCTCACCCTGAGCGTCTGTGAACGCTGTGAGTCTGATGGCGCCGCAGACCTAGGGTGGAATGGCTTGGTACAGACCACGTCGGAGGCACACGCTGGCCCATTCCCGCCGTGTGGGCACCCGCCCCCGCTGGCTCTTCTTCGTTTCACGTCAAGATGGCTCTGGGTCCAGGCGCTGTCCATCGAGATGGCTCTGGGTCCAGGCGCTGTCCGTCGAGATGGCTCTGGGTCCAGGCGCGGTCCGTCGAGATGGCTCTGGGTCCAGGCGCTGTCCGTCGAGATGGCTCTGGGTCCGGGCGCTGTCCAGGCCACCCCTCCCCAGTTACGTTCTCAGAGTCAGCAAAGTCCCTGTCCGTGGACACGGTGGCCCAGCAGCCTTGGTCCTGGAGACTGAGCAGCCACTGCTGATGTCACGAGGGGCTGCAGGTGGTCGCGTGGCCTCCTGTCGTTCCCGTCACAGCTGGGCTCGTCTGTACAGAAGCTCCCTCCCTGTTCAGGAGCTGTTTCCTGCCGCCCTCCGTGTGGCCTGTGAGGACTGTGTCTATGTAACTTGTCCCGCCTGCGGCCAGATGGACGGAGGCCCTCCGTGTAGCCTTTGGGGTTCTTCTGACAACCCCACTTCTTGTCATTTCTTTAGGAATAATTTGCATATGGTAATCGAGTCGTCTGTCGCTCCTTGCTTTCTGAGACAAACAGGCGTGTCCGCGCCTCTGTCTGGTTCCTGCCTGAGCCCGGAGCCGCTGTCACTCACAGAGCCTTGGTCTCGGGAGGAGCGTGTAGACACGACCGTCCGTCCGTCCGGGTGGCGGTGTCGTGCTCCTGGCGGCCCTGGTCTCAGTTCTTTTCCCTGGAGAGAAGTGGACCCCTGCCCCTACCTTTCTTAAAGGAAAACGCTTCATGGGTTTATGCCCATAGATTTCCATTAAAGTTTGGGGTAATAGGGTTCCCCCGTTTGCTTTATTCTAGTATATGTTTGAGTCCCCTCTCCTCCACGTCCCAGACCTCAAACAGTTGTAACTTCTTTGGAACTCAACGTGTTCCTCTGTAAAATGGGCACAGTGTTGGCTTTTTATGATCATCACATGAGACGATCTACGCAAAGCGCTCACAGTGAGGGCAGCTCACTAGATGTCAGGCGCGTTAGGGAAACAGTGAGAAGCCCTAAGCAAAGGTGGGCTTGTCTGTCTGTCTCTTCACTCACGGGGGCCTGTCTTGGGGCCCGAGGTCTGCGTTGGCCTCTGGGAAGTGCTGGCCTTTAACCTGTTCCTCTCCGTAAATGTGAAGCAAGGACGCGCCCCCACAGTGGACGAATCGATGGTTGGTGTCCATGCGGCTCGGGGAACGTGGCTGTTTTTATTGAAAGGACCAGGTTAGCTGCCTCTGAAGCGGCAGTGAACTTGCCTGTCGGGGTGTAAATAGGTGGTGCTGGGCTGTGCTCGCCTTGGTCCCCCGAGAGCCGACCCGAGAGCCGCGCCCCACGTGGAGGGAGGGCCTCGCGCTTCCCCTCCGGGCCCTCGGCTCCGCGTCCCGGGAGAATTCCAGTTCCATTCACGTTTGCTTTCCACACTCGATCCTCGGAGCGCCCTAGCGACCGTCTGTCTGCGCTCCGCATCTGCTCCAGGCGGACGGACACAGGTCTCGGTGCCGGGCCCGTGCCAGCGTGACCGCCCTCCGCGGCCTCCCCCTCTGCCCTCCCCGTCGCAGTCCTCAGAGGCCGGTGCCAGCTTCCCCGGGCCCGTGGGGACCAACGCCCGCTGGAACTGTGCCAACGGAAACGGCCTGCAGGGAGCCTGCCGCGGGCAGAGCCCCGCCCACTGTGCGCTCTGCCGGTGGCTCAGGAGACACCGTCCTCTGTCAGGAGCCACGGCACCGGCTGGGGACGCGTCAGGGAAACGACTGGGCGTGACCGATGGCACAGAGGCCTCCAAGCAGGTCGCCGCCCTTTCTGACCTCACGGACAACCATCGGCCGCTGCTCTACGGGTGTGTCTTGTGTCTTTAAAACCTTCAGAAAAAATGTCGTTCATGCACAGCTCTTCCCAACACATTATCACATGACAGGCTTCACCCCGGCCACTGCCGCTGAGTCACACGGACACGGGCCTGATAGTGAGGACTTAGACCTCGGGGCGAACTCCGTTTGCCACAGTGAGTGTTTTCTTTTTTTAAAATATTTTTATTGGTTTCAGAGAGGAAGGGAGAGGGAGAGAGAGATAGAAGCATCCGTGATGAGAGAGAATAATTGATCGGCTGCCTCCTGCACGCCCCACACTGGGGATCGAGCCCACAACCTGGGCACATGCCTTTGACTGGAATCGAACCCAGGACCCTTCAGTCCACAGGCCGATGCTCTATCCACTGAGCAACACTGTCAGGGCCACAGTGAGTGTTCATTCTTCAGGCTGTTCCTGTTGGTGTGGCAGTGACTCCATGAACCACACATCCTGGTCCTCAGCCAGGAAGCATGTCACTGCATCTCACACGCACAGGACACATACATGTAAAGAGCAGGAAACACATGTCAAGTGCAGGGCACATGCATGACTAGCCAGGCGGATGCCAAGACATGGAGCTGAGCGGTGACGTGGCTGTGGAGGCAGGAGGGGCGCGAGGGCCGCCGCGCTGAGGAGGACGGCAGTGGTGTCTGGGGCGTCAGGGACACAGCTGGGGCTGCCCACAGCTCTCAGCGGAACAGGTTTCTGTGGGGAGTGAGTGGATGCTTCCACACGGACCCCTCAGGCGGGTGTCCCGAGCCCGGCGTCTGGTGTGAGCGCCTCGATGTGCTGTGAGAGGACAGGGGAGGCCCCGCGGCCCTGCAGGCTGAGGGCATCAGCCTGCGTGCTCTCGGGCTGGCGTCGCGCTGGGCCCCGAGGATGACGGT